GTATCAAGTCAATAAGAGTTTTTCGTGTTTGCCATGCGCCTATATATAGTTGGGAGTGTTAAAAATGCACATATTTAGTGCAGTCAGTGCATATTCGGTAATTCTATTGCATATTCGGTAATATTATTGGATCTGATTGGTAGACAAACAATACATATTTGGTAACATTATCGGATCTGTGAACTGAGTATTTGTTAGCGTTTGACAAATGATAAAAAAACTGCATAATTTTGGTAATGATAGGCTTGTGATCTGATTATTTGTTAGAACTCACATAGCGACCCCCCCAGGGAGTTGATCAGATTATTTGTTGTAACGTAGGAATGGGACTTTTCCGCAAACTTGCCGGTCTGTCAAAAATGTATCAAAAACGAACTAGATTTTTTGATACTAGACCGCTGGCTTGAAATATAGGACGGAGAGACTGCGCTCGGTATGAAAAAGTTTGAAAGATCGAACAATTATATGACGAGAACGCAAAGTGAAGTATGAAATGTTGGAGAAATGACAATACGTAAAAAAGTAATTGAATCGTAATATTCGATCTGATACGTTTGTGTCAGTGATATAACTAATGTTTGACCCCACATCTTTCATACATATTAAAAGTAACCCGACATCATCGGAAACGTTAACAGCAGCATCTGAGTCAAGTGCAAAGATAAGAAAGGTGTTTAATACGGAATTAGAGATTCAGCAGCGTGCTGGCGAGTGAAGAGCATGTGGGAATGTGAGTACAGTGTGACATAGAGACGTATGTGTATGTACAAGAAAGAGGGTAGGAGAAACAAGAAGAGCATGGTTGAATGGCTGAAACATTGATTGATATGGTTACCATTTTAAAAATTTTGAGTCAGCCTGCTTCATTCTTACAATTGAAACATTGAATCATTACTTTATGATGGTGTAAGATAATGAGACTCGTTAAATCTACTAATCAACTATGATACATAAATTAGATGATTTAAGAATGTCGAATTGAGGAAACCAGCCAATCTCCTTGAATCAATTATTTATATATCTTCTAAATGAACATGCACTTTCCATATTGTAGAGTCGGTTGATTAGTTGACTATGGAGTTGCATAGTCAAACTGCAAATCGAACAAACGGTAACGTCTCGAGTCTTCCAACTTAAGAAAGTCTACTAATGCTGGCTGCTTTAACTATGGGGGTTCGTACTCCGCATACGCGAACCACGTTTACTCATTGCTCGCTCGAGTTTTATTTAGCATATTGTGTGCATAGTTATTATTGTAAGAGGTAATTCATGCACTCGTTGAAGTTCTTTTCTTACATGACTTCAATCTTTTACTTATTATTATTATCTAGGACAAGGATCAGAACGACCAAACAACACAACAAACAGCGAGCCGAGCGAGCACACGCAAAAAAAAAGGCAGCAGGGAGAACTTATGGTAGGATTAAAGAGAAATGATTTTGTTATTTGGGTATGGGTTACGATTATTACGCTCCATCGTTCGTACGAGCGTGTCCGATATGAAAATTGTCATCATTGCCACTTAGTTCATCACCACTCACCCCTTGCCCACTTTAATATTTCCATTCGTTTTCTAGAACTCTGGAAAATTAAAATTTGCCGGGAAAGAACTTTTGCCCTATCCGAATTTGGAACAGCCCTCGCTAAAGATCGCAGCGATCGGCTAGGTAACGGCTGAGTATTGTTGAACGATGCCTCAGAAAAAGATTGGGAGAAGATGGATGTATCGAATTACATAAGTCGAAGTCGGCGGCCGAGCAGAAGCGTGAAGCGAGCATACGAGGTGGTTGGAAAAGGCAACAGGTCAAAGTTCAGGCAAGTCTTATAAAGAAACAAAAAGAACGAACAAATACGACAAATAAATAAGGCAATTATTGTAATAACCATCTATACATATCTGCATTCAATATGTTATTCGTTTTTTGCTTAACAACAGTTTTGTGCCCAAGTGTTAGCCAGCATTAATCCAAGTCTCACTCGGTTCTTCAAACACATCGTG